AAAAACGGTCCACAACAGACAAACAATGTCTGTCTCGTACGACGATGGTAGTGGTCCGACCAAGTCCGAATAAATACACGTGAAAACTTCGCTCTGGTCAACCGAAACTACTTTTACAATATAGGGTTTACGGTATGCCGTTTTATCTTTGGTTTTCGGTACGAAACGCAAGCACGGGCCCAAACAGAACAATTATTGTTGATATTAGGCCAGAAACAAAGCGTTTCCGTACCAATTTAACCGTGGCTCGAAAACCCGGATGTAATATACCATGTAAATTATCTAAAACACTGCACGACGAAAATCTCTCGTTCAAAACGGTCGAGGTACGCCGGACGGAGTATCGTAATTAATAATCTTCGAATTATTTGTAGTCAGCATAATCAAAATGGTCGAGGCACAAAACCGTTTTACCGGAATTAATTATTTAAAGACAACGATCCCGGACCAACAGCCCGTGCGTGTGCCGATTGTTCGTAATCAATCCACGCATGTGCTTATTAATCGTCTCTAACCGTGATAGCATATCAGCTACAAGATTAACAGAACCTTTTACGCACGGATAGTAAAGAATGGATAGTCGGTGTTGCTTTATTATACGTTCCCGAAAACGCTGTCCTAAGATGATTTTTTTTTTATTCCACGGTACTTTCAAATGGATTAACAATGTCACGTCGCCCATTACTGATGTGCAATAACGCAAAGATGAACCATTGTAATATTTGAAAGAAAAATTGTATTTAAATAATACAACATATTATTAACAAAATAATAATAATAATATTATCACATTAGTGACGATGATAAAAATTATTAACCAAACAATATTAACCGCAGTAACCATTGCGGTATAAAGTAGCTTTGTGAGACAAATATATATATATATATATATATATATGCTTTATAGGAACGTAACAGCTTACGTTGAAACTATAGGAATAGCCTATCAATTCATTATTATCTATGTTTTTATACGTGACGAACATCAGTGCTAAATTACTTATAGAATTTGCCTCGCTTGCCGAGGCGAACACTTATCGGTATTTTAACCTTTCCAAACCATCGTCCGATTTTTTCGTTCTCACTCTTGTTGAACGAGCGACGAAACAACAATTAGAATAATTTAGTGGAAAATAAATTGCGAAACATTAATTAGTGTGCGATTTCGATTAATTAATAAAGAAAGTACCTATTTGGTAATTATTATGGTATTTATAATGTAAGAAACTCATCATATGTATACAAAAAGACGGACATACTTCGTACGTGGGTGCAGCCACTATCGTTGGTGGGAAGTTGGGGGATGGTAAGATGCAGAAGGGAATTCGTATTGCATATCTGTTAGAATCGATACACCATTGCTAACGAAAAAACGATTATGGGCGGAATTCAGTTGATAGCGATGCTTACAAATATAGAAAAAAGAAATATAATGTAAAAATGTATTAAATGTTGGTATTTAAATTTTTAATTTCCATCAATCCGTTGTTCAATCCGAGATATTCCACTTTTAAGTTTGGGTCGGGGGAAAGCAGTGGAGTATCATTTGCTCCATGTATTGACGAAAATTTAAAATTTAAACACCGACATTTATTTTCACCATTACTCCATCTACTTATGGAATTTTTAATATAGGTTGCCGCTAAAAAATCCAATAGTAGATAGTACTTTCGCTCCCAAAAATTAGGATGACAAAAAATAACAGAAATGTAAAATTGTAGAAGTGCTCATTTATACAATTTTCTATAAAATGTTGAAAAAAGTTAATACTTTCCGAAATAATGAATGCATTATGATAGATTGATCACTCTGTATAGTATTGCTTTTTAACAATGTGCGTTTCCATGACAATAATGATTGTTTAAAAAAAAATTAAAATAATAATAACAAAATATAAATAAAAACGGTTGCCAATGCCAGCCTCATGTTTAATTTTTCAATTTTGTTTAACCTAAATAACTAGGTTTTCTTTATTGCCTCGAATATCGGTGGGAATTTCGAAAAATGGCCTTTTAAAGTACCACTCAGAGAATATTTCCTTTCAGAAACCACGCTACACTTGATAATCGGAGTAAGCTTTCTGGTACAAAAAGTGTACACATAAAAAAAAAAAAAAAATTAAAAAATAAACATCACTGTAAAACCAATACATTTTTCGCTCCGCTCAGAATTTAAAACAGTTTGAATTATTAACACACAAATAGTAAAAATACAATATACGCGTCCGCCAGTCGCCACAGTTATTAAAAAAAAAAAAAAAAAAATGAAAAATGAAAAACGTAATATTTATTCCAACCACATAATACAATGATACAACTCGAGAGATAAAAATATTAGTATTCGGTTTTTTTTTTTTTTTTTTTTTTTTTTTTTTTAATCTCATAACGTCACTTCACGATTATTTTTTCCAAGTTGGTCAATATTAATTTATAATCACAATAAAAAATATTAACGAGCGCTCTACCTGCACGTCAACGTAATGGCATTACAATCCCCCGCGCGCGTTGTATTTCGTACCCGTGTGTATACATTGTAACACTGATACACGGACAAACAACATAAAATGGAAAAAAAAAACACGTTTCAATACTCGAAATGCTCAACGTTATTAATTTATCTCTAATGAGTGCGGAATATCACTGTGTAACGCACGTACTGCACGCATAGTGTATTTCATTTCATTTAAAACGATTGTTTCAACGCGCCAAGCGTATGTACAACGTTACAGCGTACACAAAAGTTCGTTTTCGGTTGGGTCCGCGCGTCCGAGCGGCCTACTCGCGCTTCCCGGCGCAGCGCGTCGCCGTAGCCGCGATCCGTAATGGGCACGTTAAGTGACGTCGGACACGCGACGCGGTGTCAACGATTGTCGCGCGGATTTTTTGCTCCCGCCGTCGGAGGAGGCCGGAGAAACCCGTGCCGTCTGGCGGTGGCGTGTTTCGAAACGCTGCATTTTACCGCCGCATCCGTTATCGGGCGGGCACGTTATTGTCAACGCGAACAATAAAAAATATTTTTAGGGGGTTCGAGTTTTCGGGCGGTTTTCGTTTTCGCGACCCTTTTGATCTTCCGGATTACAATATACGAGCCGAAATTTCCATACAGTTATTTATTCCGCCCGAAATCGTTACGAATACCTACGCGCTTCGAGTGCCGAATACCTGCGATATTATAAAATATGTCACGTTTTCGCGACGTTTAGGAATTCGTCAAACGCGCTATTCGGCGCACTTTGCGCGCCGCTCTTTTCCGTACGCCGAACTTTGAAGACAAATAATTTCCGACGCGGCCGTTTTCCCGTTGTTATCATTGCCGACGAGCTTCCGGAATTCGTTTCCGTGCACCGTGTAGGTCGGTCGGCCGGTACGACGGCATTTCCGCCGCCGCCGCGCGTCACGCGCATTTTCCCCACGCCGTTTACGTCACGTCGATTCGGATTGACAAGAATGATGTTTGCCGGTCGGATTGTTGTAGCCGGACTGTGAAAATCCCGTCCGTCCGTCCGTTTGTTTCTCTATCCGGGCGCGCGTTTCCATAAACAGGTATTATAAATTGGATTTTTTATTATTTTTTTTTTAAACCGTATAAAAAAATAATAATACGAACACGACCATACACGTACCGAGCTTTATGCGGACGTTATTTGTAGAGCCTGTCAGAAAAAAAAAAATATATATATATATTTATATTATGTACATAAAATATCTCGTATTTCGATTAGATTGCATGTACGCATGTATACAACAACGGTGCAGTATAGTGCTTTATTCATTTCAAATCTGACAATATAGTCTGGCAGCGATGTGTATACGTATATATATATATATGTATATATATTGTACTTTTGCTTACACTGGAAAATATATAAGCAGTGTTTTTTTTTTTTTTTTTTTTTATAAACCAAAAGTAATGCTATTTTATTTTTACGTCGAAACCGAAAGCTAAAATACCTACTGCGTGCAGTGTCGTACCCAGGAGAGAGTCTAAAGGTCTCTAAAGCCCCGCCCAACCCGTTGCAGAGGGGCCGAAAAAAAAAAATATAAAAAATAAAAATATTAACTATTCATCATCGAAAACTTACCTACTATACTATTCAAATGTAATTATCTGCTACTACGTATTCAACTAAGCACGGATAGTCGTACTGCACAACTACCTATGCATGCATGCACATTGCGAAATTCTTCTTTTTTCCCCGGTATAGGACTTTCAGTCCAAACACCGTCTAAACTATCAAATTTCCGTAGCTAAAAGCACTTTTTTCCAATTCCCCCGGGCTTTATTTTTCCTACATTGCCAACAGTTCGTTTATCCTATCTTTCCGTATTGTCTCCCGAACGCTCTTTTACCTTGCGGTACATCGTACATTTTCCATTTTTCCGTTGCCAGTCTCTGCAACGATCACTCTTTACGCCATGCCCTGCCCATTCGGTCGTTACCGTTTTCCGCCAAAGTGACCATTGACGACCGTTTTCACCACGTCGATTTTCCGTCAAAGATTATGTTCCGATTATCACCCCAATAATAAATATATTATTTTAGATGTTTATTAAGAACCCCTGAACTTAAATCCATGATGATACAATGGACTATGACTATCGCTTATTTTAGATTCGGAGCGTAGCAGTAGATCCCTATTGATTTTAATATCATGTGTTTTTTTTGTCTCTGTGAACAGATTTTCTACCAGACATCTTGCTCTGGAGTATTAACTAAGGCATCTTTTCTGAAAGGAAGTTTTCTATAGTTGGTGCACTGAGGCAATCATTTTTTGATTATCTAAAGTGTTTCCTTATATAATTGAGAGACATTTTTTTTTTTTTTTAAATAAAGGTATCTATTGAAATTTACTAATTAATGATTTAAAAACTGGGATAATACCGGGTTGACAGATCTGTATCGGAGCGAGTGCGTCCAGCACTCTTCGTTCCGTCTGACTTGTTGCTTTTTAATAATGTCCACCTATCCATCAGTGGCGGCCACTGAGCTCAGGGAACACCCTATTGGGTGTCCCAGAGCGTCCGGCACAAGTTGAGGCACACCGTGTCTCCGATCTGGCAGTGGGACAGCGAAAGGTGCTGGAGCGTATGACTGAATTTGACGCCAGAAAAGAGTACTTCATCGTCAAACAGGATGTTTTGTAGCTCGAAGCAGACTACGCACAAGAGTTGACTGATACGTCGTAGACGGAAGTTCTGATCAGGCGGACCATGAAGAGTGTGCGTGACGCCACTACGGTCCTGATAAACAACAATCATCACCACTTATTTTACCAGGGTTCGACGTGAACCTGGTCAGGACTTTGTAACTTTATTTTAGGCTTATGATTTCTGATATTTTGACGATGGCTTATTTCAATGAGCGTTTGATGACAGTATTTTTCTGATGGGATTTATGTAAAACTACGCTTCGATGAAATAAAAATACTCACTTAAGTGCTCTCATAACTCTAGATAACGTTTGGTATTTTTCAGCGAATTGTTGTCTTGATGCTGTCGATTTTTCACGTACACATGATGAATATCGACATCAGCACTTAGCGTCTCCATCGCGGCTGGCCAATATTGAGCTTTCACACAACAGTCTCACACTTTAACAGAACGGAATTGGTTTTGGAATTTATTCTTATAACCGGCACTGGGCGAGTTTTGTACTTGGTGCAAGCTGTTGTGCAATAACACGAATGGGTTTTTAAACAAACTGTCACACGATTTTTTGAATCTTATAGCTGACGGCGTTTTTTCTTTATGACTATTGGCTGATGACGGTTGTTGTTTGAGACTATTGGTCGGTGTTTTGGAGAATTTGTATAAATTATTATTGACAGACGGTAACCCTACTCTTGAAAAGTTCGATTTGGTTGACGGTAACGGTATTCTCGAAACATTCTATTAGGCCGATGAAGAAAATCGTCGTAAAAGAGACATGACGGCGTTTGTCGCGGTTTGTATCAGTCAAATAATAATAATAATATAAAAAAGGATACTTGGAAAAATCAGAAAGTAGGATACAGATGGAAATTTAATATATATTAACTGTAAGCAACGATAAACCATTGCTAATGAATAAACGATTCTGAGCGGAGCTCAGTTAACAGTGTTGCTTCATCAACAATACAAAATATGGTATATGTCATATTGTGGTAAAATGATTACAATTTGTGTTTCCATGATAACAATGATTGTTTAAAAAAAATTAAAATAATAAAAAATAAATGAAAATGGTTTCTAATGAAAACCTTATGTTTAATTTTTCTATCTTTTTTAACCTAAAGACCGAGGTTTTCCTTATTATCTCGAATGTTAATGAGCATTTCAAAAAACGACCTATCTAATGTACCTCCCAGAGAACATTATAATGACAGCACTTTTTTTGAAATTAAATATGACTGGAGTGATATTTTATTGATGCCATTTTTTGATTTTCTCGGAATTTTTCCAACAAATGGGAAAACCGGTGACCCGCCCTCGTGCGTAGTATGCCCGTCTTTTTTGTCTAAAATTAAAAAAAAAATTATTAAGAATCACGAATTTAATGAAATTATTTTTTCAATTTTTTCCCAAAACATACGAAAACATTAGTTTACCGTCGGCCCTACCGTATATATCTTCTCGAAGCCGTTCATTGGCCACTTCTCATTGGTCGCCATCCATTCGGCTCGATGATATAATCAAATATTCTCTCCACTTGTGTGTCGTTCTGTTTATATTATGCTGGTATATTGTTTGATATTGAAGAATAGTTTGCTCCGTTCAAATTGTGTTTTTCGGACCGAACGGGATAATAGTGTTGATTAACTGTCGGTAATTTTTAAAATTTGTTTTTTTTAAAATCATTTTCTGAACAACATTGCTGAAATGATTCGTTTAAAACCGGTAAAGCTTGACGGTAGAATTTCGAATTGGTTTGACCCACGCGTTTGGTTTGTAATATATAAATTAATATATTTTACAGACCGACGCGGATAACGTTGTTTTCCCAAATGTCTCCGTTTATTCCGGAGTATATTTCGCGCATTCCAGAGTGTACCCGTAGAATATTACCCATACAACAATATAGTGTTGTCGGCCGTCATCAACGTATAGTCGTCGAGAGAAAGAGAGAGAGAGTGACAGAGAGAGATACCAGTAATGATGATACACATTCGATTTCCATTTATACACCGCGGCAGTGGCCGATGCTATTTTAGCGACTTCCGTAAACCCGTCGCGTTACCCTTATGCAAATAATAATGATAATAATAATAATAATAATAATAATTGAAGTGCATAACATTGTTGTCGGTCGCACTTCACTTCGGATGTCAAACTCCAAAGTTCCGGCGCATAATGTAATAATACCGGACGGACAGAACATAATACGCACGATAATAATATACGACATCTACGCAAAGAAAAACGCTCTGCGGCACGACTTTCGCAGCACGCGCGTGTATATATCACGCACATAACCGTAATCAAATTTGTCAATTCATCTTTATTGTTTTATAATAAAGATAAATATTGTATTGGCCCGCGTTCGACTCGAATGTTATTTCTGCGGCGGACGCGCGCGCCGTTTGTTCGGGACGTTGTCGTCATTATTATTACCGTTTTCGTCGCATACCGACCGAAATACACCCCGAAAACGGCGCCGTAACAATATTATAACATTAGGCACCGGTGTACTATAACAGTCGACGAAAAGGCGATGACCAGGGGCGTCATTTCAGCTTTTCATTGGGGATATGCGAAAATTCGGATCAGGCCAATTTTTCAGAAAATCGTCCGTTCGTTTCGTTCCCTTATATTCGTATTCCTGTTTAACATTTTAATATTTAAATATCACGTTGGTTGACATTACTTCTTCTGCTTCCTCGGTTTTCAAAAGCCACCGAGGCCCATTACCGCAACGCAAACCTGCTTCCGCCTATCTCCTGTGCTAATATGTCTACATCACGTATTCTAATTTCTGTTAGAATCCTATCCACGTTGTCTGTCCACTTTTGTTTTGACTTGTATTGTAATATTAATATTAAAATACAGCCATAGTCTATTTTTACATTAAATACATAACTCATTATACCTTGGCTTATTCCACGTGACGTCAGTTTTGACGCGCACTGTTATCTCGCCAACATACCTGTTTATTTAGCCATAATAACAATTAACGTTTGAAAATTTACTTTAGTAAAAATCCACCGTGTTTCACTCCCTCATCACAAACGGTCGGACCCATATAGTGGCGGCATTTGGCAGTGATTCGATTATCTTTTGCATTTTATCAACAACGGCATAATTATAACATTTTATGTGGGTGACGTACGGTGACATCGGAGTTAAAACGATAATTCGGATATTCTGGGTCGGACATTAAAAAAAAAAAAAAAAAAAAAAAAAAAAAAAAAAAAAAAAAACGCTTTTCCGTTCACGTTTTTAATAAAATTAATCGGGTAAAAAATAATCTGGGTAAATTCGCGTTTTACGTTGTTGCATAGCTCTCGTTTAGATGAAACGGCCGGCATAAATCAGTCAAATAAAACTGAATTCTTTTTTTTATTATTAAAGTCCAATATCGTCGCCTTAGAACCGGAGGAATGTGCCAAACAAAAACGGATTTTTTTCTCTTTTCTTAGCACTTGTATTAATCATTCAATTAAACATTTTTTTTTTTAATGTTATTTGATTCCTGAAAATTTGCAATTTTTCGATACGTTCCTTCGGTTCCTTACAGTTAGCCGACGATATTTTACTAAACTAAATTGTGAATAAAATATTTTCAAAACGATTTGTCTTTCTTTTGTTTCCTGAAAAGTTTTGAAAACTGGTGCTATTTTATTATTGCATCGAACCCTTCGATTATTGTATTTATACTTGACTGTAGTCCACGGGCTTAAAGCAATATTATAATATTCATTTTCTCTATGCTCGTCACGATTGCGTGCCGTCAACGGCGGTAGTATTTGGGTTTACTTTATCTTATCTACGGATTAATAAGTTTCCGCGATCCAATTTCGGCGATCTCGGATCTAAATAATGTACAATTTACTGACGGTCATAATATACACTATATGTATACGTAGTATGTGTTTTGGACGGAATCATTTCACTCCGTTAATTTGTATCAAAACAGAATGGTTTTCAATTGCTATTATTTATTAATCAATAATGTAAATTCACATTTTATATATTATATAAATTTATAAAAAATAACAGATACGTCTGATGAGTGTGTCACTGTTATATTTGAAAAGTTAGTGAGGTGGGATACATAGAGTTAGGTACTTAATTTATATTTGTACGCAGCAATAAACCATTGCAATCGAAATAAGGCTTTGAGCAAAGTTCGGTTAAATATGTTTCCATTTTTTATGATTTTTATCAAAACGTTAATTTAAAAAGTTTATAAAAACCACCAACGTTACGCTCAATTTTTTTTTGACCATCAAATACAACTTATAATGAACCTCGTAATAGATTTTAAAGTATTTTTTTTTTTTTTTTACTAAATAATAAATACAAACCTAAATCCAAATAGAACTAAAGAAAAAAACTGGAAAATGTAAAATATGCCTATAAATAAGTTGTTTCACCAGGATCTTATCAGATCTGAAAAAATGCTAAAATAGATTAATATAAGTATTTTGTGAAAACTAAAGTTCTCTAAGATTATTTTCAACTGAATTACAATGAATAAGAAAACTAAACTGAATATAATAAAATTCCCCATTTTTTCTACGTTTCTCTTGGTTTTCTTAAATTTTTAGGACAAATTTTAGGAAAATATATGTCAGATAGACAAGATATGATAACAAGATTTCTGACAGAACAGTTGTTCACAGTAGTGATGTGACGAAAATCCGCTGCTGCTGTTTTCGAAATTTTAAAAATATAACAGTTACTCTAACATCAAATGTACCGGTTGTCTAATCGTATACAATAGCGCGTACAGAGTAAAACGAGGGGAATTTATATAAAACCGGTAATTTCAGATAACAGAGATAAATTGTTTATGATAAATAATGATTCGCGATATTCGAAAGATGTGCTTAATACAATAAATTCGACTTTAAACGTTTTCATTATTTTAATTTTTTTTTCTTCGTAAAAATATAATGTACGCTAATTATTTATACCAGAAATCTTGCTCCGATTTTCAATTTTAACATCTTTTCTGAAAGGATATTTTATCTTTTTGGTACATCAAGGAAGTTATTTTTTAATTTTTCATTATAGTTTTCATAATAGGTAATCGGGAAAAAAAGATACGGACACCCTTTACACGATGTGAGAAGTTGAGAAGGTAGAGGGATAATTTAATGTATATCTGTACGCAATGATTAACTATTACTGACGAAAAACTGAGCGGAGATTATTTTAAAATCGTAAATATTACAGCATTTCAAACATAACTGAACTCCGTTCAGAATAGTTTTTCGTTATCAAAGACTAATCGTTGCGTACATATATATATATATTAAATTGTCCTATATATCCTACATTTCTAACGAGAAATTGGGAAGGATCTCGCCCATTCATCATGCGAAGTATGTTTGTGTCTTTTTATGATCACTCACCAACTAATTTCCCATGTAAATTTTTATTTCCTAAGCTCTTGGGAATCTGTAGCAGATAATTTTGGATTTTTCGCATACTCTTGTTAAGTTGTAATTTTATACAATTTCTTTAGAGTTTCCATGGTGGTTGTAATATATTTATTACAAAAAAAAAAAAAATATATATATTAATATTTTAAAATAACAGTATACATAGAAGTTAAATTGATTTTACATTTTTTGAATTAAATCCCACGTTTTTTATTGTATTTAGTGTGACTTGCTAACTGCACGGTCTTGTTTAAGTATAACTGCTTCGGAAAATTAAACTCTTCAAATCTACGTAACTTCCAACCGTGTTTTATTCGAAACTGATATTGCGTACCTCGTGTGGTTAATGTCCGTACACGATTTCAATAATTAAAAATTGTAAACGATAAATATATATATATCTAACTACCTAAGAAAATCTCAATTGTGCTCTTTCTTCGACATGAAAATTTGGACGGCCCAACACACATTTAACCATCCATGGGAGACGGTGGTTCAAGCATTTTGGAAGAAGTACCCAAATTCGATGGCCACAATTGACCAAGACGTAGGTCTTGTTGATCGACAAGTAAAAAATGGAGAACTGTATTCACATCGGTTAATTACTACTAAGTTACTTCCGAATTGGGCATGTACATTGATGGGACCGATAAGCAAATTCTATGCCAATGAGTATTCTGAAGTTAATCGGGATCGACGGCAGTTAAAGTTAAACAGACGTAATATATCATTGAGACCATTCGTCGAAGTTCAAGAAGAGCTTATATATGAGCCACATCCCGATGATCCACAAAAAACATTGCTCAAGCAAACGGCTTATGTAACCGTAGAAGGCTTACTGTTTAGCGGTTTTATAGAAGACATACTTACCATTAAAGTTTCGGTAAATGCAGTTAAAAGACGACGAGCTATAAAATTGGTTATTAAAAAAATGTAGACGTAAAAAACATTATAATTAATTATTTTTACTTAGGCCTACAGTTATATTATTATGTTTTAAAATTGACTTATATGGCTACATCAGGGAGCCACAAAGTTTTAAAAAGTCCCAATTTATGTGTTAATAATTTAAATTATACTTACTCATAATTTATTTTTCTATCAGGTACATGATGCATTACGAAACGGGAGATGTTTATTAAGTATTTTATTGAAATGTAGATGATTATAATTAATCAAAATGATTGTGTGAAAGCACAGGGCAAACCATTAAACATGAGTACCTAGTATTAAACAGGTACCTAAATTTTTTTGATTTCGATTTCAAAAATCCGGATTATCGAATTTTAATAAATCCAGATTATTCATTGTTCACTAAGACAAAAAAAAAAATGAAAAAAAAAAAACATATTATATTATAAAACCAGTATAAATTCCTTAGCTTAGAATATAAAACAATTGCATAGTCTAGGAGCTGAATATGGTATCACCTGAGGTATACGGAGCAGTTTTTGTTTTTACTATTTAGTAGGGTATTTTATAAACCTTGTTATAAACAGTAACCAGTTAAGAAATGTTGACAGTTAAGCTCAGGTTTTTTTTTTTTAGTTTTCATCACGGCTATAGATAATATCTTTAATCGTGATTTTTATCAAACACATTTTAGTTATGTTGGGAGTTAGTAAGGTCTATGGAATAGACACATTACTTTAAAGCTAGTAACGTAACCATTCCATTTAGTAATTACTTAATGAACCATTTACGTTACATTGCAGATTTGCAGATAACCAATACCCATAGAGCAGTCTGATAACATTATTTGAGTGAAAATTATTGATGTTATCATAATTTCTACTAGTACATATTGACTATTGTTGTGGTCTTTATGAAAATGGATAAAAAATTCATCCGTTTTGAAATAAATCTATTGGCGTTCCCTGCGAAAACAATTTGCGCACGTCAATGTCTAGGAGCAAACAATTATTATTATGTTACAATAACGATACAGTATTGAAAATCATGTTAAATGATTACGTTGAAGGTACGATACATTACTTCATTGGCAAAACATAATCATTTTTAAATGTTATTTAGTTAAAATAAAACTGTATGGAATATCTCTTACGGTTTAAAGCTAAGCTGAATATCACATATTAAAACAAATACACGTTGAGTGATAGTTATATATATATAGTTGATAATATCTAACTTACCTAACTAGCCAAACTAAAATATAAAACGTTAGAAAAATTACTGAGTTAATTTTTTAGAAACATATTTTTAACTCAACTCGTAGTTCGTTAAAATTTAAATTATTTCTAAAGCTATTTAAATTTTTTTTTGTAAAACACAGTAATAAGTAAAAATTATTATTTTTTTTTGTGAATATTATTAATAAATGTTCTTTGGAGGGTCACCCTTACTAGTTTTGTATAGTTATAAGTCGATAAAAATTTAAATATTACGTATATTAAAGGGAAATTAAAAAAAAAAAAAAATTAAACTTTAAACCTATAACCTAACTAAGGTGTAATGTTTCTGAAAATGTTTAACTTAAAGCGTGGTCATTCAAATTTATTTATATTTAAGTTTAACTTAGCTTTCCTAGTTTTTTTGATTATTAAGAATTTAAAATTAACCTAGTAATAAAAATAGTAAGTTTCCAAGTTTCAGTTTAAATATACAAGTATTTGAAAATATACATATATTCTTGCTCGGGATTTTTATCGGTAGGCAATACAAACTATTAAGATGATGACGATATTGAATATTTCTCATTTTGATAACGGAGGAAAACGGACAGCCGAAACTGGTATCCAAAACAAAACTGGAGTTCAGTTTTTGGGAGCGTAATAATAATAAAGTTGCTGTAGGGTCGTTGTAACTCCGTTTACTAACCACTTTTATACTTGTAGTCGTATAATTATTACAGCGTACAACATTAATTCGGAAAGGACGATTTCTTTGTTTTGTGTGCACCTAATATTATTCTCAATTCGATCCGGGAGTTTGGTCACACTGTATACTACATCACGCGGTTGGGGTGCTTTTTGAATAATATTATATTGTTCGACTGCGACCGTCCGCGAAAAGGGCCCAGAACAAAAACGCAGCCGACCCGAATAATACAGTGTGGTTATATACATGTATATTATTTTAATAACTGTTGAAAACCCCTAATCTATATTCACCGCAACGCTCGCCGAAATCGTCTATTTGTAATATCATTACAAGGCAGTACTTGCAACAAAATAAATAATAATTTTCCCCGAGCGATTCCCGAGATTTTCTTCGGTAAACCGCCAGCAAAGTTACGTACATAAATATTATATGCCCATACAATATTGATTTCTTTTCGATTTGATAATGCGGTTGAACTTTCAAAGTAGCGGTCGAATTCCCCCCGAAAACCGAGACTATTATGCTGTATTTCGAATGTAATAGTGTTTATTTCTCCACTGATTTCGGGTACTTTAAGCAGCTTTCACTGGACCGAACGACCCCGAACACGGGAATTAAACACGTTTTATAAGCAGATTGATGTGATGCGATTTCGGTTGAATCCGGCATGAATTTCGCCATATTTTTGCTGAACGAGGGTATGCCATTATGTTCAGCCGTTTACGTTGCCGGTGTGATAGCGCGGGCGAAGATAACCGTCCGGAAAAACGTACTGCGGGAACGTTTTTCCGTTGAGTGTTTTTTTATGTCTACCACACGGGCCGAGGTTTTAATATTGCTGCTTTTGGTTACCGTCGCCTCTCGCCGTCACTGGTCACCGTCTCCACGCATCACCGCGGAGCACCGTCACTGTTGACCAACGCCGTCGCACTCATCACGGTCTTTATTAAATACTAATTATTATCGTCTTCGAATTATCATTATTATTACTATTGTATCTCATTTTAAGAGCCCTACGCCGGCCGACATATTTGTGTCCCGATATTATTTGTTTGAAAACAGTAAGCCGTCATCCGGCACAAACTCAAAACGCATACGGAATTTGTATTGTTGGTTAAGTTAATAAATATTCACCGTACAGTACGCATTATCGTAGTAACGCATTAGCTTTGAACGCCCTACAGACCCGTACCGTAATCAACGAGGCCCAAGAGTGGATGAAATATTATACAAAAATGTATTGTATGTTTCGCAAGCACCGAGGATGTGTCTTTTGGAGGGTTTCAGCTTTAGACCTCTTCGCCAATCATTTTCGAGCTTAAATTGCATGACTTCACAAGACTTGTGGCGAAAATTTACCCTTTTAATATTTTAGTCCTTGTAAAATATTGCCGGAGGGATTATAATCCGCCCCGTTCAATTACCGGGTCATTAATTAATAACTATCACAGTGAAACTGTATCCCCTTCTCCTCTGGTGAAATACAACGCGAGAAAGTAATCAATAGCACACCGGGGTTTTTTTTGTAAATACCCCTAAAAAATAATAGTGCCCCTTGTAACCAGATGTTTTATAATTATAATAAACATACAAATTGTACTGTAACAGCAACAACAAATCTGGGAAAAAATTCCACTATGGAGACACGGCTCCGCTACACACGTGTATATTTTGTTTGTTTTATGACATAAATTCGCGGGTCAACCTCACAGTTCAGATTTATTACTTTTTAATTTAGCAGGTTTTTTTTTTAAATTTACACATTAATTAAACGTATTGTGTTTACTATATGCAGTGCTTTGAAATTCGTGTGTTTAGTCTATTACGCGTGAATACGATAAATACATCACGTACCTACATAAATAACTCGTTAAAAATAAACGAGCGCGGAAAATCGCATCCTGCGAGCGCATGCTAAATTCCCGTTTTCTGTACTTACGGTGTAGTTTTTTTTTTTTTTTTTTTAAATTTAATCCGTAAATTAATATTAATTATTGTTAATCTATGGGTCGGAACTGCAGTATATAGACCGCAATATATTATTCACCGTTTATACTGCAGTAAGCACATTAAATACAACTTAAAATTAGAAATATCGTTGAATCGGACTTTTCTCTTTACACGAGGACCCACTCGTCAAATTGTTTCATTTTTTTTATAAAACAATACGTATCTATCAAGAATATAACCCGGGATGAAAAAAAAATTATGTATATTTAAATGAAATTCGTTTAATGGACTTTATAAGTGTTTCTTTGAAATTCACTAGTGACCACTTCAAAGGAAAATTCGTTTATTTTGCTGTTTATTCTGTTTTCTATGAGATTTTTTTATTTCGCATGTCGGACAGGATTTTGTCCACAGTTTAACGCGTGTTACTGAAAACAATTGAAACATCTTAATAGTCGCTGTGATATACTCTTTGTTTGGCAAGCCATGTTTATTATAATACGAATTCAGCCATTTATTAACAATAATTCTCAATATTTAATTCGTAAGATAATGCAATTTACTTACATGATGTTATTGTCATCAAGTATGATTTTTTTTTCTTTTAAATTTCGAAAAACATACAATATTATAGTTTTTATCATTTTTTAAAAGGGTGTTTAAAAGCGATTTTCTCGTCCGCATTCCGACCTACCGATACAACCGAATTATATTATAATTAGATTAAAAAAAAAAAATGAAACGATTTTTATTCCCTCTTTTTATACCGTGCCGTGCTCGCATTGTAATATTTTGGTAGGTACGTGTAAAGACACTGAATACGAATACAAAATTGTTATTGAGGGATGTTCACCCGAGCGTGTGTATGTTTCATTGTCAAATAATATCCAATTATTTTCCCCCCTCAAAATGTCTTGGAAAATAATCATATAATTATTTATCGATGACCACGACGACATAGTCATGTATAAATAATATATGTGACTTGGCCCACGAAGGGTCGATGTCAAAAAAAAAAAGAAAAAAAATTAAAATTAAATTTAAACAAATAGATTGAAAATGATAAGTTGAACAAAATTAATCATTTTCCAAAAATATTACGTTAAGGTCATAATAATAATTATTATAATGAACAAATGTATAAAA